CACTGAGTGAGGCAGTGAGAGTCAGTGAATGAGACAGTGAGTGAGGCAGTGAGAGAGTGAGGCTGTGAGAGAGTGAGAGTGAGGCAGTAAGTGAGTGAGAGAGTGAAAGCCTGCGAGTCACTGAGTGAGGCAGTGAGTGAGATTTTATCTTCTCTTTCTGGCCGCTTTTAATATCTTCCTTTTTTCTTAGTTCCAAAAGAGTAAGTCTAGGTGTAAAATTTTGATTGCCTCGTCTATCTGGAATTACTGGGGCTCTGGGTTGAACAATTGGTGTTTTGCAACATAATGAAAATCTCAGCTGTTCTTTAAATGTGGCTTCTATCCAGTGTTCTCTATTTTCTCCCTCATCATTCATGTTGCTTAGCCTTTGTCTTATACTTTTTAATATTGTTGCTGAATGGACTGCATTCTGGATAAATGTCTTCAGATCTATTTTCAGCTCATTGATTTCACACCAAGGAGCCGAGGTGGCATCGTGGTTACACATTGGGTAGCTAACAGTGAAATACAGCAGTTTGAAACCACTAGCCACTCCTCAGGAGAAAGACAAAGCTTTTTACTCCTGTAACAATTTTCAGTCTCAGAGACCCAGAGGGGCGGTTCTACCTGCCCTCTCAGTAGCTGCGAGTCAGAATGGACTAGGCAGCCATAAGGTTTTTGTTTCGTTTTAATTTCACACTGGTTATGTTTAACCTATTTAAGTCACTCGTTGCATATTTTAAAATCAATCTTTTTAAGAATTATTATTTCTAAGAGCTATTTTTGGTTCTTCGAATCCACTTGGTCATTTTTACACTGGTGGTAGTTACATCATCTGGTGTCAACTTGCGAAGGGGTGGAGTCTAGCCTGTCGATCAGGTCGCAGCTTGGTGACCTCATAGGCATGTGCGAAGGAGATAAATAGCTCGCTGGAGGGGGACACTCACACACACCCTGTGAGACATTCCTGTTGACAGGCCACATGGAGACAGGCTGATGGCAGCCAGAGCCCTGGAGCTGGAGCAGCCACACCAGCACTGAGGTGCTTCTACCACCACTGGGTCCACAAGACTTTTCACCCACTGGGCTGTGAGCTTCCTGCATTCGGCATCATTGTATGACTGTGTGAGTCTAAAGAGGAATGTATGGACTCGTATCGACATACAGGCTAATATTGGACTTGATCTGGACTGGACTGGGATATTTTCTCAATATACAATTGCTCTTTTATATAAAATTCTTTTTATACACATGAGTGTTTATAAATGTGTTTCTCTAGTCTACTCAGACTAACACAGTGGTAGTTACATAATCTGGTGTCAATTTGAGACTTGAAAGTGAAGGGGTGGAGTTTGGCCTGTCAATCAGGTCGCAGCTTGATGACTTCATTAGGAGGAACTAAGGAGATAAATAGCTCATTGGAGGCAGGACACACCCTCAATCCCTGGGCGACTTTCTTGTTGACAAGCCACATGGAGACAGGCTGATGGCAGCCAGAGCCTCAGAGCTGAAGGAACCATGTGGAGACCCCTGCCAGTGCTGAGATGCTTACATCACCACTGGATCCACAAGACTTGCCACCCACTAGCTTGTGATCATCCTGCATTCAGCGTCATTGCATGTGTTTCATGAGTTTAAGGAGGAATTTATGGACTAGTATTGGACATGTGAGTGTCTCTGGATGTGTTTCTCTAGTCTACCCAGACTAACACACACTTGTGCTATTTCTATTACAGAAGTACACCAAGACAGACTTACTTTACATGTTGGACTGCTAACTGTAAGGTCAGCAGTTCAATACCTCCAGCTGCTCTGTGAGAGAAACCTGAGGCTTTCCACTCCTAAAAAGAGTTACCATCTTGGAAACCCACAGGGGCAGTTCTGCGCCGTCCTATAGGGTCACTATGAGTAGAAATCGATGGATGGCAGTGCGTTTTTTTGTAGTGATCATTCTAATACCTTTTGCCCCCACTGTTGTTTTGCTTAGCACCCTATTGTCTCACAGCCCATTCCTTCCTTAGTTACCTGTGACGGTGGCCACTGTGTGTGCATGTTCCACGGACTACATCTATGAGGCTGGGGTGAAAGTTGTTTTCCCAAAGAGAAGATACGTGCTTTCGTCTGGCAGTCACCTTGAGGCACTATCAACTAGGGACTGCTTCCAATCACATGAACTGCTTTAGCGTTTCTAAACCATATAACTTAAAAAGGAAAAACCAACCCACTGCCACTGAGTCGATTCCAACTCACAGTGACCCTGTAGGACAGGGCAGAAGGGCCTGTGGATTTCCAAGGCTATGTATACATTGTTACGGGAGCCAATAGCCTCCTCTTTCCCCTGTCCACGCCATATAGGCAGCATAAATTTAGGTCTCAAACTCCACCTTAGAGAAATCTTGTTACAGATTCTCGGGGAAGCCTTTTTCCCCCGCCCTTCCATCCAGCACCGGGATTCAAGATAGGCAAAGATGCTTTGCTGATCTTCTTCATGGGAATTCTATTTTTGTTCATTCTTATATCGAAGGGATAGCTGTTTGGCACCCTACCGTAGCCTGGTAAAAGGTTTCCAGATTGTAAATCTTTACCGGAGCACATAGCCTCACCTTTCTCCAGAGGAGTACCTGGTGGGTTTGAACCACTGACCTTGGGGTTAGCAGTCTAAAGTCTGGCCCATGGTTCTCCTTTCAGCTTCATGTAGGGAATTTCTTATTATTTTCCCAGGACCCCTGGTGGCATGGTGGCTAACCACAAGGTGGGTCAGCAGTTCAAAACCACCCCCGACTCTGCGGGAGAAAGACCAGGCATTCTGTTCCTGCTAAGAACGTCCAGTCTAGGAAACACACAAGCTCAGTGTGAGTCTGAATGGACTCCGTGGTAGAGAGTTTGAGTCCGCTGAGAGGGGCTTCAGGACTGCTCGAGGGAGAAGCTATGACCATGAGACGGCAGTGCTGCAAAACATGCGTCGGACCTGACAGGCGTCACAGACAGAGGCATTTCTTGTTGCAGGACCTTGGAAAGCAGGCGGCTCAGGCTGGGGGGCTAGAGAGGGACAAGGGCGCTCCCAGGGGAGAGAGCAAGCAGAGAAGGGGATTAGGTATTTCGACAATGTCCTTCAGCAGCAAAATGGGGAGTAACTGGCTCAGAGAATGCCTTAGGGGGGATCTTTATAACTATAACCCAAAGAGGAGCGCTTCTGTCAGAGTGGCTACACTAAGGTGACCAGACGTCCCGACTTTTGGCTTTTTAAAAAGGTCCCGATTTTTGGGAAGAATGTACAACAAGCTAGGGAATGGTCTATTTGCTCCATATAGACCAAATTTTTAATCAAGAACCCCCCCCTTCCCCCCACCCTCCAGTCAATGGTGTCCTCCTGCTTTAAATCTCGTCGCCTTAGGCTACACATCTGGCTGTGATCTGTAAGGTCAGCAGTTCAAAACCACCAGCCATTCTGCAGGAGAGAGACATGCTTTCTATTCAGTAAAATCCACAGGGGGTGTGGGGTGTTCTGCCCTGCCCTTTCAGGCTACTATGGGTCTGTACGCACTCAATGGTGAAGGTCAAGGGTTTTCACCAGCCTTCAGTACGGATTACAAATGAATGTAAAGAAAATTAAAACCCTCGTGACTGGACCAATATTCTGGTAACATCAGGATAAGTGGAGAAAAAACTGGAGCTCTCAAGCATTTCACCTCGCTTGAGTCCACGATCAATGGTCATGAAAGCTGCAGTCAAGCAATCAAATGACCCACTGTCCTGGGTCAACCTGCTGCCGGAGACCTCGCTGCAGTGTCGAAAACAAGGATGTCACTTTGCGGACTAAGGTGCGCCTGACCCAAGTCGTGCTATTTTCCATCGCCCCACATGCATGTGCAAGTTGGAAGTAAGGAAGACGGAAGAAGAATGGGTGGATTTCAATTATGGGAAGGGTGAAGAACACTGACAGTCCCAGGGACAGACAAAAGAGCAAACACATCTGTCTTGGAAGACGTACAGCCAGAAGGCTTAGAGGCAAGGATGGTGAAAGTTGGTCTCCCGAACTTTGGACATGCGATCAGGAGAGACCAGTCCCTGGAGAGGGACATGATTGGTAAAGTAGAGGGGCCGCGACAATGAGAAGCCTCTCAATGAGATGGATTGACACAGTTGCTATAACAACGGGATCAAGTAAAACAATTGTGAGGAGGGTGTAGGACGGGGTGGTGTTTCCTTCTGTCGGACACAGGGCCACTGTGAGTCAGAACCACGTGACGGCACCTCACAACCACAAATCTCTTAGCCCGTGTTTTTTTTTCTTCCAGTAATTTTGGTGTGGGTGACTCCACCCTGGAGCAAGAGTCCTGTCTCCTGGGCTGCAGGGTGGAGGCAGGGAGAGGGAGGTACTTCTGTCTAACCCAACTAATCCCCCCGCCTTTTAACATATAACATGTAAGACATTATAACAATCCATCAGTCAACTAGATCAAGTAAAATCATACAATTGCTGCCATCATTTTCAAAACATTTTTTCTTTGACTCTTTGATGTCAACTCCTCTATATCCCCTTCCTCCCCCCATTTGCCCCCCCTCAGGATCTCTTATGATATTATTATTATTTTGCTGTATCTTACACCATCCAATGTGTCCGTTCACCTACAGTTCTGCTGTTCATTCCCCTCGAGGGAGTGGGTTATAAAGTCATCATTGTTATTGGTTCCCCTTGGCCTGTCTGCTTAAGCCTTAGCTTTTTGCTGACTGGCTGGGTCCTCAACGCTGGCCTGTCTCGTAAGTGCTCTGGCTTGTTCCCTCCGCTGTGAAGTGAGTGGATGGACCTGGGTCAGACATATTTGATTGCACTGCTCAGAGCCCCTCCGGTGATGGCGGGTCGAGGAGGATGAGGGTTTGGGAAGGGTATGCTTTCATTCCCCCCATACTGGAGGTGGAGGAAGAAGTATTTTGAACGGGGTCCCACCACTGAAACACAGGCGGGGAGCCTGCCTACCTGGGTGACCTCTGGTGTGTGTGGGTGACTCCTCCCGTGAGCAAGAGCCCTGTCTCCTGGGCTGCAGGGTGGAGGCAGGGAGAGGGAGGTACTTCTGTCTAACCCAACTGATCGCCCCCTTCTTATGGCAGGTACCCCTTTCCCCAGCTGCCCCTTAACTCTGTTCCCAGAAGGATGCTCCCTTCCATGATGGGTGTGTCTGTCCTGCTGCTGCTCCCAGCCCTGGGACTAGCTGCTCCCAAGGATGGGGCCACAAGGTAGGAATGACAGGGGCAGGGTTGTAGGCTGATACAGAGGCTTCCCAAATCTGAGAGTGGACTGAGCCCCTCGGGAGGCATATCCCTCCTTTCTGTGTCCCGCCTGAGCCTCTTGCCTGGTGCTGATCTGAGGGTCCTGCCTGGAGGGCACTCAGGACATGTTCGCTGGGGTCATGTGGAAGGAGGGAGCTGGGATCCAGGAAGGCTCGGGGTGGCACTGGCAGGGAAAGGCTGCAATCCTTAGTCCTTTATGGTGGGAACTCCCAAGAAACAGAGCTCATTTTATTCGTCCTGTCCCAGGACCTTTCTGAAGGGTCCTGAGAAATGATACTATACACTGGTGATGTATAGTGATGAATACTCCATGCATACACTGGGGTGGGCGGCCTGGGAGATGGAGGGACAGCTGTTGCCTGCACCCACTCCTCCCTCCTGGGGGAAGCAGCTCTGAGTGATTCTGGCAACTAGGTAGCTCTGTCTAGAACTGGTACCTAAAAGACGATGTAGACCCTAAGCAGGTTAAAACCCCACCCCCACCCCCCCACCCCACAGGCCAAAACAGGTGCCCTTGGCTGGGGAGGGCAAAGCCAACTTGTTCTTGTTCTGGAGTAAACCCAGTCTGGTTGGAAAGTGGGCGGAGCTGCTGGGCTCAGCCTGAGTAGAGGGCTCTGCAATGGTCCCTGGGGTCCCGCCCCCACCC